TTAAACTTATAATTCTTAGAAGATATGGTAGAATCCTTCCATGCTTATCCTACTACTACTACTGCCATTACTCGCTGACGAGTATTTGACACGCATCAGAAGATGGGCGTTTTCTTTCATGAGCTTTTCTGTGACTGAAAAGCCCGATACGTGATGTTCTCTTTCTACCGCACTCCAGACATTCAAAAATCTCATGCTTATCCTAATTTTTATACAACGGTAGAATATAGACCGAGCTTGTGAAAGACAGTGCGTGATTTTATTAAATTTTTATTACTTTTCTACTTATTTTCTTTAATTTTTATAAAAATTATGTATCATTTACGTGAAAATACGTTGAAAAAAATAAAACTGATTAGGTATTATGGAAATTCTTGTACAAGTAAGTAATGTTATTTAAACCATTTATAGCACGCCGATGAATTGCTCGTATATAGAGAATTTCGTTTTTCCCCTTGAGTTAAAATAAAAAATTGTCTTTAATGAGAAAAAATATGTTTGCTTTTTCCCTACTTATAGAGTATTTTTTCTCTTTCTAATGGTATAAAAAAACTTATTAACGTAAAAAATGGAGTTAGCAGGTTATCACGTTTCACTGACGATATTATTTTTTAATTTCACGAGATGACTTGATGAAGAAAACATGGTTCTGACTAAAAAATATTGTTTTACGGAAATTTGCTAACGAAATTATTGCACAGGGTGTTTTAAATATAAGATAAAAAGCAACTCTTCGATTAACCCTGTATAATAAGTCAAATACTAAAGTTTATAATAAACTCAGTTTACAAATTAAAGTTAATATATTTATCAGGGTTGGAAAAAATCATCAAGTGTCGAATTCAACGAGTGTACAATTTTTTCCTCGATTACTGTTCATATTATTTGCAATGTTTGTGAAATTGATTAAAAAAGTATTTGTAATGTTTTAAAAGAAATAGTATGTTCTATTCGGAGTAAAAACAACTTACTTCGGAGTAAAAACAACAACGTAATTTTTGTGCCTCCTAACCTAACCTAATGTCGGAATAGTTTTACGATGGTCCTTCAAAGGTACAGAATCGTCAAAAAAAAGTATAATTTGTATATTCCTAATAAAACAATACACTATTGTTCGGAAATAGTCTTAAGTCGAGAATCAAATTAGTATGTATTTTCTAGTGTCAAAGTGTAAAGTACTTACTGCAGATCAAAATGTCGGTATAGGAATTTGGAAACATACAACCGTGTCCAAAAAAATAAAACAACACATTTTCTGACAACGATTATAGATTCTCGGGAATGAAGATAGTCTCTATATCAGAAGAACCTAGTTCTGGCACTAGACTTTGGCGAATGATATGTATTCGAACAGCAAATTTTTGTCACTTATACATAATCACTTATAAATAAATGGATTCACACGAAATTACTTCAAAAATCGGTCCAACATTTAAATTGATGAATATAGATATTTTTATATAGTTTTATAACATTTACAATTATTCTTCGCTTTATTATCTGTTATATCTGTTATAAAAATATTTTTTCTAGTTTCCTAGGGCACATTTTTATAACTTTTACAGTTATTTTTTTATTTATTATAAAGTTTCAATATTTTTTTTTTAATCACAAATCACATGATTAAAATTCAAAAAATCACTTGATTTAAATCATGATTTAAATCATTTGATTTAAATCATGCCAACCCTGATTTATATACAGTTTGCTAAAAAAATCAAGGAAAATATAACATTTTAAACTTGACCAAAATTTTTTCCGTTGCGTTTTTTTGCATCTGGGTGTAGATTAAATTTAGAAGAAGGAAAACCTATAAAAATCCAGTGGTTCTCAAAATGAAAGCAGAAAAATACAAACAACAAAAAATACTTATATAGAACCAGTAAAAAGTTATTTCTTTATTTCTATCGATTTTTGACAGAGATCCGCAACTGACATTTTACAGTCATTTTGAGGATTTTGTAATAACGTTACTATTGACTGAAGTCCTGACACAATATACTCATAGATTTACTACATCTGAACCGAACCAATTTAGAGTAACTAATAAAAAAAACATAAAATAGGCTTGGAAAAATTGCAAAATGTGTCAGATGTAACGCTAAACATAACTGTCAATAATGGGGGTTCATAATGTCATAATTTTATTCAAAGAGTCTAAAAACACTCACCGTATAAAAAGAGCGTCAGCAAACACACAGCACTCAGAACACCTCTCATTTTAACCAAATTCGCCTTCAACGTTTTTTATTCAGTCACTATCACCATCATTCCCAACACTGTCTCTATCTATGCTCACCGACGTCAAAACCGAAAAATCCTCACGCGAAACCCACGTGGCTCGACGTCAAATCGTGCAAGTGCAAACGGGTGCTCATACCCGATCCCGCACGCGAACTGAACGGCGGAAACGGCGGCGTCGAGACGTCTTTAGCGTCTCGACGCCCATTGGCCGACGCCGACGCCGCCGGCCAATGGGGAGGCGGCTGGACGCGCAACGGTCTCAAGTTTGTTGACGGGATCTCGCGATTTTGTTGTTTGCGATATTATGCAGGCTTGCGGGTTGTTTTTTGGGCTGTTTTGTAAAGATTCGGTCTGATTTTGTGTAGAAAATTAAATATGTGG